TTGTTGCTTTATTTAATTTCGAGCGTTTTGATTATATTTGCCGATTTTTTAAGTTCAAGTGTTTCTAGTTCTACATATTCCACATCTACATATTGTGATTTGGGGATTTTTCTGATACAGGTAATTATACTCTCTTAATATATTAGTTCTTACTGTTTTAGACCTTAAATACATAAAGCTATTTGTATGGAAAATATTTTGAGTTCTGTTGTTGAGCTTGTGGTTTTACGAAAATTTCTATATATATTAAATTAGTAGTTTTTCAATATGAGACAGTTGAATTAAGATTGCTTAATCATTTAATGTATGTCTCATATTTTGTAATAGATTTTATTCATACAGGCAATTAATCTTTCTTGTGGCATATATTTATAACTATTATTATATTAGTACTAGAGAACCCGTGCTTCAATTTGAGTAATTCTAGCTATATCTTAGAGTTGTTTAAACACTTGTTAGAAAATAATTTTAAATATCTCTTTTTGTGTTGTAAAAGGTTTGCCTACATTATTTTTTTTTTGCTCTCAGTTTTAACTGATAACTTCCAATGAATGCTAAACGATCTGCTTCAATTTGGGTTAACATGTTACAACAAAGTTTTTACAGCATTGAGAATTAAAGAAAACTGTTGCCTAACTGATAGCCTGTGTTGCGTAATTTAAGTTTGGGTAATTTTATTTCTTTGATTTGAGACTTCCCGCTAATACTAAGGTGGTCTGCCGTTACACTTTAGACGCATAAATGAGCGAAGCATTATTTAAAGATTGTCAATGGCTAAAGCAGCTAACACCCTACAATATGTTCCCTTTCAACAGATGCACCGTTTGTTTGCCCGATATTATTTAAGTTCTAAAGAATGACAAATTTATCTGATAGTTCATACTGTACCTTTGTAGTGAAACTGGCCATCCTGACCATTTGCTTGTACTTTGTAAATGTGCATAGCAGGATGTACTCGTGCAATCAAAATTTGTTCTACAATCGCCAGGTCAGTTAATTCGTTCGGGGCACTTGACACATCCATATTATTTAACGCCGTGAATTACGTTGCATTTGAACGACAACGGGAACAAATTGGTAATTGATTTGAAGCTGTTAGTCGTTGCTGATGACAGTTAGTCCAAAGTGTAAAATTTTAGTGCATCTAATTCATGTTGGAATTGATTAGCTATCTGCCTATCATTATCAGCTTCATCTGGTTCTTTTTGTTCACGACACCACTCTCTTACAATATTTGCATTATTGGTGCGACGACCAATATTACGTTGGGCCTTTGAGCAACAAACAAATATAGCAAAACTGTTACTTCCATTGATAAACTGTTACATTCCAACTTTAACCTAGGATGAAAGTAAACATTGAAATGTAAACAAAACAGTTACAAACAATTAATATATGTTTATCTTATTTAAATGAAATGAGATAAACCCATATGTCATAAACCCAATATAATTTTTATTTCAACTTACATTAAAATAACAAGCGAAATTGCGTGACCCGTAAAATAAAATCCAGAAGGAAATTCGCAAATATTTTTTACCAAAACATTGTACTCAGTATTGTTTAGCTGTTGGCCAAATTTCATATTAATTGGTCAAGCCATTACATTCTGATGCTCTTATAAAGAAGTTACAAAGTGAGGGAAAGTGAGCTTCGCTCAATAATGGGGGTGTGACTTTAAGTTTTCTCAAAAGTTTATGGGTGCTTTTTGGCTTTATATATAGATATAGTTTGATTCAAATTTTTAAGATGGAAGAAACTGTTAGTGATATTTATTGAGAATAGCCTCTCATCCTGTTATGTGTTAAATCATAACATAACTGCTTTTTGTGGTCATTTGATAACTTCTAAATTAAGTCTTTTGACTTTAGTAAAATATAGCTGGAATAGATTGCTTCTTTCTTATTTGATTTTTATCGAGAATTACCTCACATACTGTTAGGTCTAAAATCGTAACATATCTGCTTTTTGTGATCATTTGATGAATTATAAATTGCTTCTTTCTTATATGGTTGTTTGAGATGGAAGTAAATGTTAGTGATTTCCTTGTTTGATTTTTATTGGGAATCGCTTCACACTGCTAGGTTTTTAAATAATAATAAAACAGTTTTTGTCATCTTTCGATTAGTTTAATTTACGTTTTTGACTTTGTTAAAATGTAGGTGTTTCCTTATACGATTGTTTATAATGGATATAATGTTAGTGATTTTCTTATTTGATTTTTATTATGAATTGCAATTGTATATGATTGAAAATAACTGATAGCTATTTCCTTCTTGCGACAGTAATAAAACTGTTTTTGTGATCATTCAAAGGTTTGAAATTCGACTTTGTTAAAATGTAGCTTTATTGGGAATCGCTTCACACTGCTAGGTTTTTAAATAATAAAACAGTTTTTGTGATCTTTCGATTAATTTAATATACGTTTTTGACTTTGTTAAAATGTAGGTGTTTCCTTATACGATTGTTTATAATGGAAATAATGTTAGTGATTTTCTTATTTGATTTTTATTGGGAATTGTATATGATTGAAAATAACTGATGGCTATTTCCTTCTTGCGACAGTAATAAAACTGTTTTTGTGATCATTCAAAGGTTTGAATTTCGACTTTGTTAAAATGTAGCTTTATTGGGAATCGCTTCACACTGCTAGGTTTTTAAATAATAAAACAGTTTTTGTGATCTTTCGATTAATTTAATATATGTTTTTGACTTTGTTAAAATGTAGGTGTTTCCTTATACGATTGTTTATAATGGAAATAATGTTAGTGATTTTCTTATTTGATTTTTATTGGGAATTGCAATTGTATATGATTGAAAATAACTGATAACTTTTTCCTTCTTGCGACAGTAATAAAACTGTTTTTGTGATCATTCAAAGGTTTGAATTTTGACTTTGTTAAAATGTAGCTTGATGAAGATGATTCTTATACGATTGTTTAAGATAGAAAATACTGTCAGTGATTTCCTTATTTGATTGTTATCGGGAATGGTTTGAAAACAATAATCAAACTATCTCATAGGTCTTTAATCAATAACAAAACCGTTTTATGTATCTTCTGATAATTTGAAATTAAAATATAGCTTGCTTAAGATTTTTTTTTTTCAAAATAAATGCATAAAATGGTTACAATACTTAATAAATTTAATGTGCATTTTCTTTTCTAGAGTTATCGTGGCCTAACTTTATACACCAAGTGTTCCTGATTTCTACTGAAATAGGTAGGTCTAATTATTCTCTGTTCCATATTGTGTTTGCGTAGCTGAAATGATGTGATATATTAGTTGAAATCTACATGTATAATTAAATATATTGCATGGGTTACATATTGGTGTCTGGTAAATGTTGTTGTATTCTCATATTGTAATTAGCTTGGTTAGTAATTTAATTGATTTAATATCTTGTTCTTGAGGCCTGAAGAAAATTGTTTCTCTGATTATATACCATTCTTAAGCGAACAACTTATACCTTTTAATGGACTTTACTTCAGTTTTAAGCATGTATATTGTTTTGGATTGATACAAATATGATTAGTAGCTGCACGTGTTAGTTACACCCCCCCCCCCTTTGCTTCATTATTGCGAGACTTCCACTACACCACTTGTCCGTTGATTGGCTGAGTAGACCACGCCCCCAGTGAGTCCTCCCCACTACACCACCTGTCCTGTGATTGGCTGAGTAGACCACACCCCCATATAGCCCGGCCCCCCACCAGAGCGCATAAAACTAGTTGGAGTTCTTTCAAACTTCACTGTTCATCACGTGCTCTTGCCAGGTACACATCATGTGCACAAGCAAGCTGCACATCAAGTGATGAACGGTGAGCTAACTTATGCAATGTTGGGCCCGCATTCATATATCAGCTCATTTCTTTTTCAGGTTAATAATAACTAATCTTTTGTTGAATTGCTATGTTTACTTGTTTTTTCCTTTCAGGTTAACTAACTTGTTGTTGCATTACTATATTCACTTGTTTTGTTTTCTGGTTAACTAACTTGTTGTTTATTTTGTTTGCAGGTTGACCTCCAATGTATATGTCTAATCATTTTCAGGTTAAACTCTATCCTTCCTTAACACACATAGAGGCAAGAAAACCTGATGTTTCCTTAAAGTGCAAAATGGCATGAAAACCAATTGTACTTAGATCTCCATACCCTATTCAAATCTTGTATATATGTTTAATCATTTTCAGGTTAAACTCTATCCTTCCTTAACACACATAGAGGCAAGAAAACCTTATGTGTTTCCTTAAAGTGCAAAATGGCATGAAAACCAATTGTACTTAGATCTCCATACCCTATTCAAATCTTGTCTATATGTCTAATCATTTTCAGGTTAAACTCTATCCTTCCTTAACACACATAGAGGCAAGAAAACCTGATGTTTCCTTAAAGTGCAAAATGGCATGAAAACCAATTGTACTTAGATCTCCATACCCTATTCAAATCTTGTCTATATGTCTAATCATTTTCAGGTTAAACTCTATCCTTCCTTAACACACATAGAGGCAAGAAAACCTTATGTGTTTCCTTAAAGTGCAAAATGGCATGAAAACCAATTGTACTTAGATCTCCATACCCTATTCAAATCTTGTCTATATGTCTAATCATTTTCAGGTTCTTCATGCATGTACTGTTGTAGTCTTACTTGTAGATAGTCTTGTAGATACTATGCACCAGTAGTTGTGTTTTGGTGTTGGTAGTTTGAATCTTTGCACTACTATTTTTCTTGCATGGCTTTCGGTTTTTTTTTAATAGAGGATGACCTTGACCTACTTTTATGATTGGTTAGTTGAAACTTTATCTTTGAAAATAGTTTATCATTCCATAGCCAAACTCTTCCTATTAGATATAATTATTTCCCACTCCCCACCCTTTTACAACACTCCTAACTTCCCCCACTCTGTCCTATACCTATATCCCCCACCACTTGGAGTGGGTATATATGTGAGAGCATTTTGGTTAATAACATCATTCTGTTGCCTGCCTGCAGAAGAGCCATGGACCCCTGCTTCAGAAAGACCACTAAGCCGATGAAGCCGGTGGCTGGAGTGAAAAGGTCCAAACTTCTCCAGGCATTGAATGGGGAAATAAGGAAAGAATGTACTGTCTCCAAGACGATTCAGGAGCCTGGACCTTCTTCTGCTGCTGCCAACACTTCTTCTGGACCTTCTGCTGCTGCCAACACTTCAAAGCCTCTGCCTGTCTCCAAGATTTCTCCAGAGCCTGGATCGTCAACTTCTATCGTCAAGAATATTCAAGAGCCTGGACCTTCTTCTTCTGCTGCCAACACTTTGAAACCTAGGCCTCCATCATCGCCATCGTCTTCTTCTTCTTCATCCTCGTCTTTTGACTCCTTGTCTTCATCATCCTCGTCCTCGTCTTCTACGTCATCCCCCCGAAAACAAAGAAATATGTCCCCCCTATCCCCCTTGACTACTTTCTCCCTTGATTGTCTCCTTACTATCCCCTATCAAATCTCCTGAAAAGCCATCTCCTCCCAAAGATAAGCCGTCTCCTCTCAAAAACAAGTCATCTCCTAACAAAGATAAGTCATCTCCAAAACCTCAAACACCTAACCTAACTCTTCCTAATTTAAATCCATCCTCAAACCAGATTACCAACATAGATTCTCCTGAAATAACCATTCCATTACCTCCACCCAAATCCCTCCCTGCTGCACCTGCTGTTGTAAGAAAACTATTTGCAAAACCCGAGTCCTCAAAAGAATCCCTACCCTCACAAAAAACCCCTTCTGAAAAAATGCAAAAACTTATGGCAAAAAGACGAGCAGCATTTAAGATCAAGTCTCAATGTACTTATGTTTTCCAAAAAGGGGTGAAAAAAGGTGAGCGCTGTGAAAAATCCTGCTTTTCCGATACCAATGTGTGTAGCCTCCACACTAAGGGGAAAAGCAGGATGGTACCCGCCCAACCTAAAATTGTTAATAATAATCCTGTCACAGAAAATCCTCCATCATTTGAAAGATCAAGACCATCAATTATTGTAAAAACTCAGGCTCAGGAAAAATCTTGCTTATCTGATCCGGCACCGAGCACCTCCCGTGTTGTTGTGATAAACAAGATCTTACCCAGCCAACCACGGACGTCAGGCTTTGCTCGACCCTGTCGTCCACCACAAATTATTGCCAAAAAAACCAGAATTAATAGGTTGCCCAAAAACAAAAAGTTAGAAATTCTAATGATGACACCTAGTGGTGAAGTCATTTTAAAAGAAGGAAATGACAGGTTCCGCCTTAAATTACCAAGAGGCATGACCATCCCGAATACACCACACCGATACTACTTAATTCGTGATCGGTCTTCGGGATTGGTTACAGTAACATTGTAAATTGGTTTTTAGTTTTAACGTGTTTTTATTATTTTCTTTATTTTCCTTTAGTATGCAAAAATTGGGAACGCATTTGTTGTATCATAACAAATGCGTTCCCAATTTTTGCATTCAAAGAGTGACCTTGAGCTTTTCAACCTATTTTATCGTAAAGGTTTAGGAACACATTTGTCATAACCTTATAATGTGTTCCTAAAGTTTTGTGTATAATATATTTAGACCAAGTTATATTTAACATTTTAATCGTTCATATTGTACAATAAAGATTATATTTCTTCAATGCCATGCTGTATAACTTAACAATTCAAGGTAAAATATATACATATATATACTTATTTGTAGTAACTTTCTCAGGCTAATTCCTCCATATATATATATTCTATTGTTTTTGAACTCTTATCTTTATACTTAAACTTTAAATTATTCCTGGACTTTCAAATTAAATCAAAATAGCATTTATTTAGCAAAACAAAATTTACTTCATATTAGTTCAATACAAAAACTGTTTACAATATATTTTATATTTTGTCATTATTTGTTTTTTCTATTTAGACAAAAATAAAATGTGCTTGAATTTTATGTTTAGTTTTTCTTATGAAAACCTTATCTATTGTTAATATTCCAAATCATTTTAGGTACTCATAATTAAGACCAATACAGTCATAGAATATTGTTAAAGCGTAATACTGTGCCCAAACAATTAGGTCAAGGTCAAACTGAAGAATTTTTAAAAAACAATAAAATAGCTACATGTTTTATGATTCACTCTCTGAACTAAATGATAATCTTCTACGAACATTACCACAAAACTGTAATATTCGACAAAGTTTGTTTTCACCATTTTCAACTTCATCTGCTTGAACTGGAATCGTTGGTGTTTCACAATAGTCCGAATGAAATTCTTTAATTGGTGTGTCTTCAGTGGGTTGAATTTGTTCATTAATAAACTCTTCGTCCACTTGTTCTTCTAGCATCTCTTGCAAGTCCTCGTCACTTTCTGTATTGTTTTCTTCCACATTCCCTGCTTCATCAAAATCAGTCGGTAAGATTCTGGGCTCTACTCCAGTAAGGTATGTGTGGTCTGTAGGAGGCATTGTGAATGTTTATGCTAAACCCCTATTTCAGGTGTTATTTATAAAATACTTAAGCCATTGGTGGGGGGTTTAACACGCCCCTTCATTGAATAAAAATGGAGTGGGGGTTATACACTGTGCTATATATATGAGTCCTGAGCCCCACCCATATCATTACTGTGAATAATACCATGCAGTGTGTAATGTAGATAGTTTTCTAAGTAGTGTCTTAAACCTGCAAAAATGTATCAATGTGAAAATTGTTGGGAGTCTTTTGAGGATGAATTGCTCTTAAATATTCATCATGAACTCTTACATAGACCTAATGAATCTTCAACACCGATGGAATATGAAGATTTCGTTGAAGACCCCTTCTTGCAACAGAATAGATCAACAGTTATACAGTATGCACCACCAAACCAACAATTGTCAGTAGAAATATTAGCTCAAGCATTTCCTAAAGCAATAGTAAACCATTTCAACATTTCTAATAACAATTATGAATTGTCAGATTTTATTTTAAAAGCTAAACCCCTTATCATAGAAACACTAGAAAAGGAACTAACCAGACTTAATTTTATCAAATTCGGCTTGCTCTTGGACACTAGATTTACAAATGTGCAAAATGAGGTTTCCCCGCGGGGGTTTATAACACGAAATAAATCGATCATGGTAACCAGTGATATAGAGGCTGAAGTCGACAGTTGCTTACAAGAAATTGTTGTTAAAATATCTGAACATGAAGGAAGAGGATCTGGGTGGTCTTTGCTAAGTGTAGACAGTTTAGATATACGTGTACATAAACATGGATATGGTGATAGAGGTAGTAGTTTCATTCCACTGCCTAAAAAAATTGCTGATACAAGAACTTGTATAAATGTTCAAAATGAGGACAATGAATGTTTTAAATATGCACTTTTAGCAAAGTTTGTTGAAGATAGGAATGCCTATAGACCTAGCCGGTATTATAGTGAAGTGGCTCATAAATATAATTTCTCAGGTTTGTCTTACCCAGTGTCTTTAAAAGATATCAAGAGATTTGAAAAACAGAATCTTAATTCATCAGTTAATGTCTATGGATTGGATGAGTCTAATAATGTTTTTCCCATTCAGGTTACATCTCATGAGCGTAAAGACCATACTGATCTTTTACTCCTCACAAATGGTAAAATCTCACATTATGTATACATCAAAAACTTTAATGCACTTTTATCAAGACAACTATCCAAAAGGAAGATGAGACTCACTATTTGCAAACGTTGTTTTTGCTATGTTGCCAAACCATTTCAGATGGGTGGTAAGGAATGGTTACTTGACCACCAACGTCTCTGCAATAGTAAGGATGAAGTAAGGGTTAAATTACCTCCCCCTAATAGAGCTTTTATTAAATTCAACAAAACCGCTCAACAATATCGAATACCAATTGTTATATATGCAGACTTTGAGTCATCATTAGTTCCTTTAGTTATAGATGAGTGTGATCAAAGTAAAATTAAAAAATTTCAATTTCATGAACCAAACAGCTTTTGTTTAATGCTTAAATCAACTTTGGAAGAAGATCATCTACGTCGGTATGGGTTAACAACCCAACCACTTGTATATCGAGGTGAAAATGCTGCTAAGACATTTGTAGATAACCTGTATGATATAGCTAATAAGGTAGAAAAACTGTATAGTTATGTAGTTCCGATGAACAATCTTCAACATGATGAATTGACATTCCATGAAAGTGCGGATAGATGTTACCTTTGTGACTGTAGTTTTACAGAAGACAACAGGCGTGTGCGTGATCATGATCACCTGACTGGTTTTTACAAAGGCCCTGCTTGCAACAGGTGTAACATTAATTTTAAATTACCAAAGTTTATCCCTGTAGTGTTCCACAATTTAAGTGGATATGACTCACATTTCATAATTCCTGAATTAGGTAGGGACAAAGGGGCGATTGATGTTTTAGCTACAAGCACGGAGAAATTTATAAGTTTTTCGAAAAAAGTGGGTAAAATAAAATTAAGGTTTGTTGACTCTTTTAGATTCATGGCTTCTAGTTTAGAGAAATTGACAGCTAATTTGCAAAGAGAACACTTTATTGAAACTCAAAAGATTGTTGCATCTGATAAAATGGATTTGGTTCTTCGTAAAGGAGTGTACCCTTATGATTATATTGATAATCCTGAAAGATTCAACGAGACGTCACTGCCACCCATTGAGGCATTTTACAGTCAGTTAAATGATTCTAATATTGACCCTGAAGACTATCAACATGCTTGCCAGGTATGGAACGAGTTAAAAATGAACACCTTAGGCGAGTATAGTGACTTTTATGTGAAGTTAGATGTAACACTTCTTTGCGATATAATGGAGGAATTCCGTAACACCTGTATAGCGGCCTATGGATTAGACCCACTACATTCTTACACCTCACCTGGATTAGCTTGGCAAGCTATGTTAAAAGAAACAAAATGTACATTACAGCTGTTAACAGACATTGATATGGTTCTCATGATTGAATCTAGTATCCGTGGAGGGCTTACCCAGAGTGTTACACGACATGTAAAAGCAAATAATAAACACATTCCAGGCTTCAAGAAGGAGGACCCATCAGTTTATCTAGGGTATTTTGACGCTAATAACTTATATGGGTGGGCAATGTCAAACCCACTTCCATATGGTAATTTTCAATGGATTGATCCGATATTATTAGGTGATGTGACAACTATCCCAAAAAATGGCGACACCGGATTTATAATGGAGTGTGATTTTGAATACCCATCCACACTTCATGATCATCACTATGATTTACCTCTATTAGCTAAATCCGAAATACCACCAGAGGGAAAACACCCTAAGCTGATGATGACGCTTAACGACAAGAAACGCTATGTTGCCCATTTTTGGGTTGTCCAACAAGCCATTGAACTCGGTCTAAAATTAAAAAAAGTTCACCGTGTTTTACAGTTTAATCAATCATGTTGGTTAAAAACATATATTGACTCAAACACAAAAAGAAGAGCTGCAGCATCATCAGCTTCCCAAAAGGACTTTTTTAAGCTGATGAATAA